GTCGTCGCCATCAACAACATCGACGTCATCGTCGTCGATCAAATCAAAGTAATCAATCGTTGAAAGATGATGAAAAATCGAATGAAACAACAACCAAATTACGAAGACAAAAATTGTTACAAAGCAAACAAACAAGTCAATCATTTAGTTTGGAAAATATTTATTTTGAAGGACTGTTATCCGAAGGTATTTGTGATCCGGAACAAAAACGACAATATTCCCGTAAACGACGAATATTATCATTTGAAGATTTACCTGCTATAAAAAAAGAATTAAGTGAATCATCACAAGAAGGTGAATTCAGTGGTAGCGGTGGTTATTCAATGATTGAATCCGAACAATATCGTCATTATACGACCAAATCAACATCGAAAAAACCGACAAGGAAAACAAAATTGAAAAATTTACCATCAACATCTACAGCGATGATCGATCATCCATCAATCGAACGATTATCGAAAAATGAAATTATAAACCTATGGAATTCATCGGAAAAACAGCTGCTGAATCGTTTAACAGTAACTATACAGAAAAATCATATTCTTGAAGAAAAATTACAATTATTACAGCAAATGTTAAAAAAACCACCTTGATTTTACATTTTATAAATGAAATATACGAAATCAAATACAAACAAACAATCGATTGTATCGATGATCAATAAAATTTTTTCACACACACACACGCCCATCACTTATTCACACACCTTCCTTTCTAAATTCATATTTTAAAAAATATTCTGATGTGATGTGTGATGCGTGTGTGTTAATCTTTATTGTTCATCGTAAATCGTATTGTATGTTGTGTGTGTGTGTGTGTATGTGTAATGGAATCAAAAAATTTTTTTTCTGAAATTCTGTTATTCTGTTATTCTGTGTTCATCGATTCCGTTTTGTTTTTTGAACAAAAAAAAAACAAAACAAAAATGGAATTTGATAGAACCAAACGATCGACACACACACACATCAACACAAAATATTGTCATTTTTCTTTTTTTTTCTTCATTTTTTATTCATTGATGTGTGTGCGTTTGATGTGTGTGTGTGTGTTTGGGATGCCAGAATATTCTACGATGAAAAAAAAATGTCATCATCATTGTCGTCGTTGTCAAATGATTGTCATAATTCTCTTTCTTTCTCTCTCTCTCTTTTTATTACACACAAACACAAACCGACAGACGAACAAAATGTGGAAATAGAAAAAAAAATTTTCAATTTTTTTTGTTTTGATCGCTTTTGGCATTTTTTTTTCGTTTGGAAATATTATTATTATTATTGTCGTTTTAAATTTTTTTGGAAACATATTCGTATACAGCTGTTTTTCTTTTTCTCTTTATTATTATTATTATTATTAGGATTCTGTATTTGATTCTGGTAGCTAGAATTTAACAACAACAACAACCGCAACAACAGCAATCAAATAATGTTATTTAAAACCAATGATCATAATGATCGTTTTCCTTTTTTGAAATTCTTGAAATTTTTTTTAACACAAACTTCTACATTGCGCCGAATGAGATCTGAAAAAAAATCAAAAACAAACAAAAAAAAAAAGACTAGAGTAGAATATATATTCAGTGTTCGGTAGATTGATTCACTTTTATCTTATTTCGTTTTTTCCTTTGGGAATTTTTTCAAAATTTAATTTGATTCTTGCATAAAAGAATCTATTGCTAATCAATCAATCAATCAATTGAATATAACCAAAATTATTGACAACCGTCGACGACGACAATGATGACATGATGATAATGATGATGATGTTTAACTAACTATCGATCGATCAATCGATCGATCACAATGATAATTATGATGATGATGATGACAATGGCTCCCAACCAATCAACAAAACAAACACTTTTAAAGAAATTTCTTTTTAAATTTTAGATGAATTGAGTAAATGAGTAAAAAGTGTTAATTATGTTTATTGCACACACTCTCACTGTGA